ACCACAGGAAGCAGCAAGAGTTATTACTCCCCAATATTCAACAGAAACCAGTTTGGCATTTCAGTAAGTACCACAGGAAGCAGCAAGAGATATTACTCCCCAATATTCAACAGAAATCACTTCGGCATTTCAGTAAGTACCACAGGAAGCATCAAGAGATATTACTCCCCAATATTCAACAGAAACCACTTTGGCATTTCGGTAAGTACCACAGGAAGCAGCCAGAGATATTACTCCCAATATTCAACAGAAATCACTTTGGCATTTCAGTAAGTACCACAGGAAGCAACCAGAGATATTACTTCCCAATATTCATCAGAAATCACTTTGGCATTTCAGTTAGTACCACAGGAAGCAGCAAGAGATATTACTCCCCAATATTCAACATAAACCAGTTTGGCATTTCAGTAAGTACCACAGGAAGCAGCAAGAGATATTACTCCCCAATATTCAACAGAAATCACTTCAGTATTTCAGTAAGTACCCAAGAAACAGCAAGAGACGTTAGTCTCCAATGTTCAACAGAAATTATTTTTTAGTGTTTCACTAAAGAACGCAAGAAGAAAAGGAGATATTAATCTAATATTAACGGAAACTTTTCTGAGTGTTTCAGTACATCACAAGGGGAAAAGGAGATATTAATCTAATATTAACGGAAACTTTTCTGAGTGTTTCAATACATCACAAGGGGAAAAGGAGATATTAATCTAATATTAACGAAAACTTTTCTGAGTAGTTTCAATACATCACAAGAGGAAGTAGGAAATATTAGTCTCCTATGCTCAACGAAAACTTTTCTGAGTGTTTCAATACATCACAAGGGGAAAAGGAGATATTAATCTATTATTAACGGAAACTTTTCTGAGTGTTTCAATACATCACAAGAGGAAGTAGGAAATATTAGTCTCCTATGCTCAACGAAAACTGTTTTGAGTGTTTCACCAGAAGGTTCGTTTTATGTTTGTTTAGTTTAAGAACAAAGCTACACAATGGACATGTAAATCTGTGCCCAGCGCAGGAATCGAACACGAATTTTAGCGTTATAAGCCCACAATCTTACCGTTGAGCCACGGGGAGTCCAGAACAAAAGAAGATATTCGTATCCAATGTCTAATAGCAATTTTTAGCAATAATAATTATAATTATTAATAATAATAGCAATTATTTTGATTGTTCTAGTCGTTATTTGCTGGGCAAGAAGAGTTATACATTTCCAGCGTTTAAAAAAGGTTTCAGATATCGATGACAGAATGATGTAGTCTCTGGTATATCGAAACCTTATGGTCAGATTTGTGAGGATACAGCTTATGGTCAGATTTGTGAGGATACAGCTTATGGTCAGATTTGTGAGGATGCAGCTTATGGTCAGATTTGTGAGGATGCAGCTTATGGTCAGATTTGTGAGGATACATCTTATGGTCAGATTTGTGAGGATACAGCTTATGGTCAGATTTGTGAGGATGCAGCTTATGGTCAGATTTGTGAGGATACATCTTATGGTCAGATTTCTGAAATTGCAGGTAAGGGTCATATTACTGAGATTCCAGCTTCTGGTTAGCTGTCTGAGGCTACAGCTTAAAGTCAGATTTCTCAGGATACAGCTTATAGCCATATTTCTCAGGATACAACTTATTATCAAATGTTTGAGAATACTTTTTACAAAGTCGGTTTTCAGAACAATGGAAATATGCTCTACATATGAGTATTTATCTTGGAATGATACTTATTTGTACAAAAGGTGTTTATATGTTAACATAACTGATTTGGTAACAAGAAAACACCATCTCATAAAAGATATTTGATTGCAAGGAAAACAATGAGATAAAATGATGTACTTTGAGTTAAAAAAAAAGTCAGTTGCGGTTACAAAAAAGAAGATGGTCAGATATAATAATTTTCGCCACTTCTCTAAAACATATATGGTCTAACCATTCATACTGAAGCAGAAATTAACGGAATTTATGGGCCATCAATGATAGGTGTTATAAACCCAAATGTGAAAATCTGTCAGTTATCTCTTTTAAATGCAATATAAATTTATTTTCACCTATAAAGAAACAAGATATTATACAGGGATATAAACAATGAGGGTCGAAGAATGCCGTTCCACCTATAAAAGAAACAAGATATTATACAGGGATATAAACAATGAGGGTCGAAGAATGCCGTTCCACCTATAAAAGAAACAAGATATTATACAGGGATATAAACAATGAGGGTCGAAGAATGTCGTTCCACCTATAAAAGAAACAATATATTATGCAGGGACATAAACAATGAGAGTCGAAGAATTTCGTTCCACCTATAAAAGAAACAAGATATTATACAGAGATATAAACAATGAGGGTCGAAGAATGCCGTTCCACCTATTAAAGAAACAAGATATTATACAGGAATATAAACAATGAGGGTCGAAGAATGCCGTTCCACCTATAAAGGAAACAAGATATTATACAGGGACATAAACAATGAGGGTCGAAGAATGCCGTTCCACCTATAAAGGAAACATGACAATATTCAGTTCACGATTCCTTCCACCTCTGCATTCAACTTGCATGCTAACACTAGGAGAAAGTCAGAAAGCATGAATAATAAAACAATTAAGAAAATGTGTTCATTCTATATAAAACAAGGGGATTACAACAAAACAAAGTCTAGAGAGATAACATCGTGCGTCGAATCCTGGTTGATTAGTAGATGAAAATAAAGCTGGAACAAACAAGAGATTGTCCCAAAACATCGTCATTATCTGATACTGTAACAACAGGAATACTTGTTCCTGGAGGGAGCTTAATGATCCTTTTCTATTCCTTTAAAACGGAATATAATTGAAAAGACACTATTTCAAGACACACAAATAGTTGAAATCTGATTTATTTCAGCTTGGTTTCAGTTGCTTGTTTAAATGATACGATATTGTCCTTAGGCGGTAAACAAATATGTTATTCCCACTTTTTTTTTTTCCTTAAATGAACTTGTTAAAGAAACAATACAATCAATCTGTAAAAGTTGAGTTTGCTCAACATAAACTGGTATAAGCATGCCAAGTGACTTCAACAACTACAGTGGATATTAAAGGATTCTCTAGTAACAGTTTCAATCCTCATGATCCCTTGGGACTCGCGCTTCACTGATCCATCTCCTTCGAGTAAAAAGCGGAATATCACGTGTAACTTTCCTGCAGGACATGAGTGATATTTATTCTGTACGTTCACTATTGTATCAAGGAATTGAAATGGAAGAAGCTTTGTGTACTTCAGCTTTTCAAGAATTTCCAGTCACAAGAAACATAGATAACTGTATATATTTCCAGAGAACAAGAAGACAAAGCCGTTTCTGAATCGCATTGACACAAAATAATGAAAGTAATTTCTATAAATATGTACTCTGCAGAGTTGCTTGTCACCGAAACTCGCGAGGAAGGAATAACGTGTATTGGTACAAAGTTTGTAACTTATTATGTACGAATACATCACGCCATCCGAACACTTAGAAAACTGTGTTTAAGCACAACCAACACGCAAACGTTATCTTCTCAGCATCCAAAACGCAGTTAACTTTTGAGTGAATAATGATGAAGTGAGAGAAGCATCATATCCGGATTTTAAAACTTGGAAAACATCTTTGAACAAAATTTCATTTCTATCTAAGCTGACCATAACTGGAATCGACTTCAGTTTTTATGAGTTGCAGGGATTAAATATGCCTATGGTATAGAGGACAAAAATGGCCGTTACTGAATAAACATATGGTCTGTAGTTGCGGGTTAGCATCCAGTCTATTTTAACCAATCATGTTGTCTATACCAACTTCCCGTTTTCTCACCATCTTATCTATACCAACTTCCCGTTTATATAGTATATATATATATATATAATTTCTGTTTAGTAGCCATGTTCTCTATAACCGCTTTATGTTTACTAACCACTTTGTCTAAAACAAGTCCTTGCTAATCATATTCTTCATAACCAATCATATTATAAATAGTCTGTACTAAGTCTCTGTTTGCTCATCATACTGTCCGTGTCAGATCCTTGTTTACACACCCATGTTGTTTACCCCAATTTTCTGTTTACTCACCATATTGTCTACACCAAGATCCTGTTTACTCACCATATTGTCTACACCAAGATCCTGTTTACTCACCATATTGTCTACACCAAGCTCCTGTTTACTCACCATATTGTCTACACCAAGATCCTGTTTACTCACCATATTGTATATACCAAGACCCTGTTTACTCACCATATTGTCTACACCAAGACCCTGTTTACTCACCATATTGTATATACCAAGACCCTGTTTACTCACCATATTGTATATACCAAGACCCTGTTTACTCACCATATTGTATATACCAAGATCCTGTTTACTCACCATATTATCTATACCAAGATCCTGTTTACTCACCATATTGTCTACACCAAGACCCTGTTTACTCACCATATTGTCTACACCAAGACCCTGTTTACTCACCATATTGTCTACACCAAGACCCTGTTTACTCACCATATTATCTATAACACATTGCCCTAGAACAGTCTGTGTTAATTAAGGTTCTATTCAGCCTTGATATGTTAATTTTTTGCTCCTTTTATTCTATAAGCTGCTTTGTACGTTTCTATTGGATTTAGCGAAATGTTATTCAAACGAAGTAAGTTTTTATTGATTCAGCATTATGTAACTGTTGTGATATATTATACTGTATTATTGTATTATTACATATTACAAGATTCACACAATGATCAGAATATAAATACATATTATTTTATTCTTATCCAAACCTATTACAAGATTCACACAATGATCAGAATATAAATAGATATTATTTTTATCCAAACCTATTACAAGATTCACACAATGATCAGAATATAAATAGATATTATTTTTATCCAAACCTATTACAAGATTCACACAATGATCAGAATATAAATAGATATTATTTTTA